GGATTTGAACAATAGCCACTAGCCTCTCCCTCACCCAGAAAAAAAAAAAAAAAGATTGACCTATCAGAATGTTTTATATAACCTGTTTAAATTCTAGGACTTAAGATTTACTTATCATTTGAAGGAAAAGAAAAACTAATACCTATCATTATGGCATTAGATTTACTTGTTTACTGACTGTCAAACAGCCATTGGAGCCTGTCACTGAAAGCTGCCATTTCTAAGTCGCTGGCTGATGTTATCACGCTTTTACTACTGTGATATTGGAGAGTTGAGTTAACCTGGTTTGAAAGTGCACCGTTCAGGTTCATCAGAATCATTAGTGTATGTTAGAGGATCAGCAGATCCAAGAACTGAGACCCAGTGTGATGAGGGTACGCTGGCACTGTGCAGAGCTTGGCGGCATCTTGCAGGCCAGTCCTTGGTGAAAGGCAGTTGCTGCTGTGCTGCCCATGGGGGTGGGGGGGCAGTTCTCTTGTTCAGGCTCTGCAGTTCTCTCGGTCGTTCCCCTTCCTCTTCCTTTTCTTTTTATTGAGATCTTAATTTACATACAACCAAATGGACCCATGTAGAGACTTGAGCAAATGGAGATGCCTGTGTAGCCACTGTCCCAAGCCAGACAGAGAACATTTCTGTCGCTTTAGAACTTTTCTCATGCCCTGTACAGTCAGCCCCCACCCGGCCCCTGGTCCCAGGCAAACATTGATCTGTCACTATGGATTTGTTTGGCCTGGTTTAGAATTTCATGTAAATAGAATACCCAGTGCACCCTTTTGCATCTGGCCTCTTTTGCTTGCTGTGAAGGTTATGTGATTTACCCATTTGCATCTGTCAGAAGTTCATTCTGTTTAAGTGCTGAGGTGTTTTGTGCTGCTTGATGATGCTGCACACAGCTGTTTCCATGACCTGTATGGAGAAGTGGTTGGAGGAATCAGGGCTCTGTGGAAGTATGTGCATGGTCTGTTTGCAGATCTCCTTCCCCCAACTCTCAGCAATTGAGGAAGGCTGGGGGGAAGAGTAGAGGAAGTGCCTTGCCATCCAGGCCATCACTAGTCCCAATGATCCTTGAAGAGTTTGGCTTCTCAGAATAGCTCTGTTCTGGTTATCTCCAGCCTCTGGTACCAGATACAATCCTGGTTTGCCTTTTGGGAATTGGGGAGATGGGGGTTCCAAATGGTGTGAGGCTTTGTGACCGCAGGGCCTCTTCTAGAGCTTTTGCATGACTTTCACCATCCTGGCAGCTGCTAGACCACCTGGCTCTGTGTTTAGGGTTTGATAAGTTCAGGGACATGAATGAGAACCGTGGAGCCCATCTAGCACGAGGTGGCCAGGTACCTCCACCTGTCACACCAGAACCTCCACCTGCCTTTGAATTGTCTGGCTATTCCCTGGCCATGTCTGGGCTCAGCTGTTAGCTTTATCGAAGAGGGAGGACTGATGCACAGAACTGCAGTTTGCACTGTTTTATGAACAGCCTGATTCCTATGTGCCCATAACCTCTTTAAGAATCACCTTGCCTGAGTCACTGGTTGTTTCTGGCTGGGAAAGGACCAGGGAAGGGGGGAGAAAGAGATGGCAGCTAAAGTGCATGGGGTTTGTTTTTGAGTTGATGACAGTATCCTAAAATTGACGGGTGATGGTTGCACAGCTCTGTAAATACACTAAAAACCATTGAATTATGTACTTTAAATGGCTGAATTGTATGTGAATTACATCTCAATAAAGCTATTTTAGAAAAAGTGTGGCAATAAAGCCAGAGCAGATAGAGGAGGTGGGGGGGGAGTCGCATGGTGAAAATTTTATTCTTTCCCCCATGTGACACAACCTGTTGCCAGAGATCCTCGTTCTTCCCAGGTCTAGTTCCGAGGCAGGCATGAGTGTGGTACAGAAACAATGGGCTTTGAACACGTCAGGCGGACCTGAGTTTGAATCCCATTCTGCCATTATTTGCTGGATGATACTGAGCAGGTTGCTAAGTTTCTCTGGTGGTTTCCTTTCTGTAAAATGGGGTAGAAGTACCTCTTTTACTGCATCTTTCAGAAGAGCTCAGCAAAGGCAGCCATTTGCACCATGTGCCGACCCTAGAACAGAACAGTGGTATCAGAGAGAAGCAGCTGGTCTGATGTGGCCCAGATGCCTGTGCCTTGGGTTCGCTTAGTGACAGCTGCACGTGCATCCCGCCATTGGTCGAGGACTGATGTCCTGAAGGTGTGGGTAGTCTTCAGCTAACTGACTGGGTTTTGTTTTGGAATTTTTTTTCCTGCCTTAATCTGCATGGTTTGAGTAATCATATGGGAAGCTCTTGGAGAACCCACTCCTGTCCCCACTACCCCCCACCCCCCACTTGGTGAAGCCTTCCCTGACACCTCCTCGCCCAGGTCACTGCTCCCTTCACTGTGTTCCTTCAGCCCTGGGTGCTGGCAGTTCTCAGCCTGTGCCGTTTGTATTTACTTTTACATCTGCCCTTCCCAGACAATTCGGGGCAGGGACGTTGGCTTTTACCATGGGGGCCCCGAGGCCTCAAGCCCTGTGCCTGGCACTAATGTTTGTTGAATGAATGCCCAATGGTTTCAAGTCTGGTGACAGAAACCAGATTGGAACTGGAAATACCAGTTTAGGCACCATGTGCTGCAAGAGGTTAGCTGTTGGGTTTCCCTGGAGCAGTGTTTCTGTCCCAGTACCGCCTTAGGGGGCAGGACAGCTGCCTGAGCCAGTCTTGTCTTCTGCCAGAGGGGTGCAGGGCAGCTGGTTTCCAGCTAGGAAGCCCCCACCTGAGGTGATGGGGAGGGGGAGAGAATGCCCCAGCCACCCTGGAGAGCTGGGCTCACTACCCCATAGTTCCACTGCTCTCTGTATTCTCAGTTCACTTCAAATCAGATTTTTATCACTTGGCAGCTGTATCCAAGACCCACTTCTAATATACCGAGGGAAACCAAGATGGAGAGGCAGTGTGGTGTAGTGGCTAATAGCTGGATTCTGGAGCTGACTGGGTTTGGATCCTGGCTCCACACCATGTGCTGGCTTTGGGATGCAGGGCAGGTAATATAACCTCTCTGTACCTCAGTTATCTGAGCTGGAAAATGGAAGAGGTGACAGTCCCCTGATAGGATTATTTTCATGATTAAGCATAAAATAACCATTATATAAATATCAAGCAGCTTGTGTTTGTTGGATTACAATAGATAGGTAGGTAGGTAGGTAGGTAGGTAGGTAGGTAGGTAGGTAGAATGAGTGAGGGTCTTAAAAAACCAAAATGAGTACATCTACCTTGCTGTGATTGTCCTCTCTCATAACCAAGAGCCTTAAGTAGGACTCTAGGGCAAAGAAGAGTTTTTGGTCATGCTAGCTGATGAAAAGGAAAAGTAGATAATCATCTTGCTCCGCCAGAACTCAAGTGCTTATTCTTTCTTAGTGGAAGGAAATACGCCCAGCAAAGGACTTTTGTGACCATATTTTTGTGCTGCTTAAACTTAGTTGAAATGCTTGGGAAGATAACTACCAGGCTGTTCATTTAGGAAGCCTGACTGTGTGTTGTGGTCAAGTACCTGAAGTAGTCTCCAGAAACATTATGAGCGTCAGAGCCATTCAGCCCCCCAGCAAGCCCCAAGACAAAGCAGCTGGCCTCCCTGCAGAGCAGTGTTGGCCTCTCTGTGAGGGTGCGTGGGACCTAACTAGGCGGACTGGGAATACAGTGAGGTTTGCGATGGGTCGTCTTCTGTGGGTTGTTTTGGGGGCAGGTGGGGGGGGGGAGGGTGGTATAATAATTTTCCAAGTGGTATGAATTATTATCATATGTCAAATAATTGACCCTTGTGTTGATATGGTCTTTGCTTCATTGGTGTTTTTCCATCAAAGAATTTCTAAACATGGATTTTGGAAAGATATTTTTAACCTATTTTGTTTTGTGTTATCGAGTCAGACTAGGGGGCCCATGTTGCAAGGAGGGAATGGGCTGGCTCTGTTCTGGCCACCATCACTTCAGTGCAGCATCTAGCTTGCCATGGCGTTGGGAGTGCACATGAATCTTCTGGGAGGGTACTTCGGGGAAACTGAGCTTTTGAAATATTCATTTCTTATGTTTTTACAGAGTGCTTTCAATACCTGCTCTTTCTTGTAGTATTTCTAGTGTTTCTATTTTTTTGATAATGTTGCATACTTTTTTTAAAGATATTTTTTCCTTTTTTTTTTAAGTTTTTATTTCTTTATTCATGAGAGATGCAGAGAGAGAGAGGCAGAAATGCAAGTAGAGGGAGAAGCAGGCTCCTGCAAGGAGCCTGATGTGGGACTCGATCCCAGATCCCGGGATCACACTCTGAGCCAAAGGCAGAAGCTTAACCGCTGAGCCACCCAGGTGTGCCTTCTAGGGGCTCACACTTGGATATTTGAGTGCCTTGGGAGGCAGTCATGCTGCAGAGAGGCTGGGGTCTCCACCACTGAGCCTGCATCTGTCTTCCCATGCATCTCCCACTGTGGAGCTGCTTTGTCTTACTGTGTAGAGTCACAAAGAGAAGTTGAGTTTTACGTGTAGGGACAGTGTAAGATCATCCTGTGCAAGGAAGTCTCTATATTACATTAACTCCTGTGACGCCTGGCACTTTAGCTCCAGCGCAGGTCTTTTCTCCCTCCTAAGTGGAAGGATCAAGTACAAGGAGAAATCCTAGGACTATCATATGCAGTGTAAAGTAGTTTATATGCAAGTTGATTTTGGGGAGGGAGGGAGGGTAATAGGACTTCTGTTCTCAGATCTGCTCTCTCTGACTTTATCTCAAATCCCAAGATTTCTGTTTGGCCCCTCTCTGAAAGGAAAGTGCTTTTGAAAAGAAAAAAAAAAAAAAAGGAAAGCTCTTCTGTGATTCTGTGATGGTCCCAGCAGGCCTGGAGCAGAGGTCTGAGAACCTGATGCTTGTACGGTGCCTGCAGCAGTGTAGGGGACTGGCCTTATCTAGCTGCAAGGAGCCGGCAGCCAACAGGAAATGATGAAATGTGCTGGGAGAATTCGGCTGGGAGCTGGAGGTCAGACATACCAGCAGGGTCGGAAGGAGGCAGGTACGGAAGCTGATCTGCAAAGTGAGGCAGTGAAGCTGGCGTTTGACAGCAAAACGTGAGTGTGCTATTTAAGGCATATATTTCCTTTAAGGGAGACCTTTTTAAAAGCAGAGTTTTCATTGATTTTTTTTTTCTTCTGAAGAGTGTTTCTGAGTGTTTGATTTAGCAGAAATCTCACCTTTTAAACACACTTAGTTTTAGAACTCCTTGATGGAAATGTTCACTCAGTTCAATATTAACCGAACAGTGTGGAGTGTTTATCCAAAATGCTTTGAGAAAATGTCAGAGTAAATGTTTGATTTCCTTGGTAAATAGATTTTGGCCTAAACAAATGAAAGACGTGCTTTATAATTTTTACTCTGGTTTTAGAACATATATACATGTTTCATTCCTAAATAGATGGAATAAATTAGAAACTTTGGCATGGCTTAGGCCAGCTTACATACTTCGAGCTGTATTGTTTTCTTTCTGGGGAGCTAAATGAGTTACTTGAGTTAACTATTAATAGAGGGTTGGTTTCTTTTCCTACTGTCAGGCACTCTGTCTTTTACATGCTGCCATTTCCTTTCTTAAACAGCCAAATCTAACCTACAAACACGGAAATGGGACTCGGGAGAAAAAGCGAACAAATTAGCTTCTCCGGTTGACACTAATTGCTGTTTCATGGCCGTCTGCTCCAGACTCCCAGAATTAGCATGTGGCTTGCTCCAAGGCCCCCTCTGCCTTCCTCCTCCGGCAGTTCTTTCTTATTCCTCTTTACAGCTGGACCCGGTGCCCTCTGCTCCGTCTGACTGCTGGTCACTAGACACTATGCTTTTATTTTTAGTAAATAGCAAAATGTAAAAGTTTTATTGTTCCAACAACTGAGAAACCTTACATGTGTATTTCTTATTTCTTCTCTGGAAGTCATATTCTGGAATTGAAAAATTGTGGTTCCTCTTCCCTCCTTTTTGTTTATGTAGTACTGTGCTTCTAATTAGAGTGCTTTAAAAAAAATCCTGATACTTGAGTGATCCATCCACTAAGGGAATATGCTTTTGGATTACCACTAAGGGAATATGCTTTTGGATTATTGCTGTGAACATTTGAAAGGCAGTGTCATGGTCTTCCTTCTGTTTTCCAGAAAGTGCCATACCGGTACAGTCTATGCCACCTAGAGAAGTGTATTTTCTTGTTAGGTTGTTACTGTATGATTTGTGTATTTCTGATACTTTTAGGGTTGTGTTTTCTTGTTTTTTAGAAGTCCCTCGAATATGTGATATTTTTCTCAGACCTTAATGAGGTCCAAAGGTTTTGCCCTTGCTGTTGTAATTCTAAGTATCTCCTCAAATTCTTTGCTTCTTCATACTAAGGTATCTTACTGAATTCTAGATGAACTTTAAATGCTGCGTTTATAAAAATAATAGTCATAACTTCAGACTGAACGTATCTTGCAGGTCTGAGATTTATTCCAGTAGTAAGATTCATCCTCTCCTTACCCCCTTTCTTTTTATGCATCATTAGTCCTCTGTTTTGCCCAGCCATGTAATTCTGTTATTCATTTGGTGGCATAGTTGAAAAGATGGGAACATGATATTTAGAGTTGTAATGGCTCTTGCTGGAGGTATAGTCTGGCCCCTCTTTTCTTTTTTCTTTTCTTTTCTTTTCTTTTTTTCTTTTTTCTTTCTTTCTTTCTTTTTTTTTTTTTATTTATGATAGTCACACAGAATGAGAGAGAGAGAGGCAGAGACACAGGCAGAGGGAGAAGCAGGCTCCATGCACCAGGAGCCCGACGTGGGATTCAATCCCGGGTCTCCAGGATCGCGCCCCGGGCCAAAAACTGGCGCCAAACTGCTGCGCCACCCAGGGATCCCTGGCCCCTCTTTTCTTAAAAAACAAAACAAAACAAAACAAAAAAACCCACAAAGGAATTAAGACCAAGAGACATATACCTTGTTGACTTGTCCAAGGTCACACAGCTTGTTGGTAGCTGAGCTTCTAGTCAATATTCTAGACTGGCTTCTGGGTCACCGGCCTCTCTTCTACCAGCTTTCTCCACATATTGTCTCACAATTAATAGGGCTTGGCTAAGAATGACTTTTTTCTTTGATGAATCCCATTTTCATTTGTTTGATTTTTCAAATATTCGGTTTTTCTGGAGTAACTTCCCTAAGTTAGTACCACTGGGCAAAGTATACAGTGAATTATCAGAAGCCCGAAGAAATTGACATTTCTCCCTCTGAGAGAGATTTTTTTTCTTAAAAAATAGAGTTCTCGACTATGTAAAGTCTTGCTTTGCTACTAAACCGTGCCTTACTCAGTTGTTACTGTTATAAGCATACCTCATTATATGATTACCTGCTAGCTGAGAAATCCAAACTTAATAAACTCATAGCCATTACAAGAAATAGACCAAAGTACTTGGTTCTTTGAAAGAGGACTCTTTAGGATCAGAAAGAAAACCCTGAAGTCTGGGGACATTTCAGTCCCTCTGAGGAAGTATCCACAGCATTAAGTCTGGACTGCCCAGGTTTTAGAATGTGGCAGACTTTAAAACAATACTCTATCATGTAAAAAAAAAAAAAAAAGGTAATGATTTAATATATGAAAGTGGAATTTATGCACAACTTTCCAGAATCAGTTAAAAATAGTCTGTCCTAAAAATTGATTTGACTTCTTCTGAAATTCAAGTCTAGGAATTAGACGCGAATAGAGGCCTGAGAGCAGTGGGTGACTCTTCTTAGACCCTGATGTGGTGCCACTGTCCAGAGTCACTTTGAATTCCTTGCAGAGGTTCACAGAGTGGTAGTTACTTGTATTTTCTGAAGTATTTAAGAATATATGCCTTCAAGAATTTCAGAAAGAAGTACACTACAGGAAAACAGGTATTTTCATAAACACTTTCATTGTATTTGAAATTGTGCTCAACAACTTTATACCTATTTTACTTTATATATATATATATATATATATATATATATATATTTAAAATTTATTTTTATTTATTTGAGAGAGAGCAGAGTGAGAGAACAAGAGTGGAAGGGGAAAGGAGAAGCAGGCTCCCTGCTCAGGGAGACTCAATCCCAGGACTCTGGAATCATAACCTGAGCTGAAGGCAGACACTTAACCCGCTGAACCACCCAGGCACCCCCTTATTTTAATTTATAAAACTTAAGAACGAAGTAGCATATGTGATCAGTGTTTCTATGCAATAGGGTGGCACTGTGTCTTCCCTCCTGCAGCTCTGGCAGGCAGTTTTGTCATTAGCCTTGAAGAAGCTGCTGTTTTCGGTTGAAGAGCCAGATGACCACATCTGAAGGCCAAAGAAAGGGCAAACAGGGAGCAGCTTGGTTCACTTCTCCCATAATTTAGTTATCTTTGTTTCCCAACTAGCATTTTATCTTTAGTGTTATATTTTCAGTACATATTAAGTATAGAATAGTTTAACTGGCTTCCTTTTCTTAATATATAATTGACCTTCTTAATGTATATGTACGTATATGTATAATTATGCATGTAAATATCTGTATATATAGGTATATAATTAGTACATGATTGCCCTAGTCAGTAAGTAATGCTTGATATTCCTCCTTGCCGCTTGCTTCTGCCTACATTAGTTTGGATTCTGGTGTGCCTGTGAATCTAAAGATGTGAAGGGGATATGGTACTGGCTTTGCTGTAGACCGCGGAGGGTTAGGGCAGCCCCTGGGGTGCTTTTGGCCCCGAAGCCTCTGAGTTCATGCTGTTGGTGTCATCCAGGCCTTCCTCATTTCCATCTCTCTTCGGGGCTTCTCTCCAGGACAGCTTCTAGCAGTGGCCTTAGAACCTTCTCTTAAGGCCTTGAGAAAACTTTTGCCAGTATGCTGGCTAGATCCTAGATCCTAGAGCGAGGGAGAGAGGAGAGTGAGTGCACACGTGTGTGTGTGTGTGTGTGTGTGTGTGTGTGTGTGTGTGTGTGAGAGAGAGAGAGCGAGAGAGAGAGAAACAGAGAGAGAGAGAGAGAGAGAGAAACAGAGACAGAAAGAGACACCATGAGGGAAGTAACAGTGGAAAACACGGGCCATTAATTTGAATGAATGAGTGATTTGCAGTGGTCCCCTTTCCGTGGAGGCTGTTTTTGAAGGCACTGTAGTCCTGTTTCACCAGACTGGTCTAAATACATTTGCATCTTACAGTTCTGCCTTGAAACCAGGGGACAGACTACTTAACATCTCCTCCAGTCCTGGGAATCTGGCCTAAATATTTTTTCTCCTTAGACTCTGTCGTTACTGAATCATAAGAAATGAATCTTTACGTGGACTAATGAAGCATATTGTTCTATTTTTGGTTAACTTAAAGAATCTAACAGGAAGTATTCTGAATTTGAAATGTGTGCCAATGGCCATCAGAGTATTAAGGGATAACAATAATTTCTCTTCCCCTCCCCTCCCCTCCCCTCCCCTCCCCTCCCCACCCCTCCCCTCCCCTCCCCTCTCCTCTCCTCTCTCTTCCACATGAACCCTGTGCTGAATTTCATATTCAGTATCGTTTCCCATCGGGGTTGTTCTGCAGTGGAACAGTTGTTAAGGAGGATCAGGGGAGAATGATTTTGCTTACTTGACAAGATGTTGAGGTGGTTACAGGCTAAAACATTGAACTTCCCAATTTGGAATTCTGTCTTTGTTTTCAGTATCGGTAGGGCTAGTATAGTGAGATAAATGAAGTACAAGGCAGCGTGTGGACAGCAAAGTGACCTCTGTATGGTTCTTTTCCACTATGATCTGACGCATAAAGAAAAAATAGCACAGGGCACAGTGGTCTGATGACCAAATACTTGTTGACCTGGAGAGCAGAAATGTTTTGTTAATTTCCCACCTGTGAGTGTGTTCAGCGCAGGTTCCTCTAGATCTGGCCTGTGCTGTGTGGAAGAACATTATACGACAAGGCCCCAAGGCCATGCAGAGAAGGATCAGAGCCACTTGCGGAGAAGGCTTTGCATATTTCTTGTTCAATGCCAAGACATTTATTCTTGGGCTCATCCAGTAGACTGCTAAGGTTGACGAGTGTGAGTTTGGAATAGTAGATGTTGTCCTAACG